TTTCATATATTTTTAACACCAAATTAGTTGTTATTGGTGTCCATGAATTTCATTTGATGAAATGAGTTGAATTGTGGTTGTTTCAAACCTAAATATTACCTAAAAAGTAGACCAAAGTCAAGGAAAAAAATCTAACCTAGTGTGATTTCATGTTTTTTGGTTTTTTTTGAAGTTTCTAAGGTTGATAAATTAGTTTGTAAGTGTTGTATGGGTGTTTATGAGGTGAATTTTTTTTTTGTTAAAATAGGTTTAGACAAAAGGATTTTTTAGGAAAAAATACATCTTCCCTTAATTTTCAACCATCACTATAGTGGTCACATTTTAGGCATATAGTAGACCTGTCATCTAATTTATTTTTTTAAAATAAAAGCAATGGACAAATTAAAAAATATAAGATTCAAACACGCTGACCTAAGCTTATTTTTTATTAGGCCTACGCACTTAGGCTTTTTTGTAAGGTTTTTTATTTGCAATTCTTTTCATGGGCAATATAAATTTAATAAAAAGAATTATTAGACCACTTAAGTCTCTGACATGGTTTATTGATTTGATGAATTATGACACAACACCTAAGGGTTTTTTATACATTTTTCAGTTTGACCGTTATTCATCATTGGTTTTTTTATTTAACTTAAAAAAATTTTAAAAAGTAATTTCATCATGTTGTATCACTTACCTTGAAAAATTATGCCTAATTGGGATCATCTTTTGATCTAGGTTCTAACTTTTATTTGTTAACTAAAGTTAACTGAAACCAATATAGTATAATATATTTGCTAAGTTTTAGCATAAATTCTTTTATAATCTTTTATTTACTTCTAAATCTAATATGATTATTGATCATTTAAGATCCAATAAAAGTCCAACCATAAAAAGAATAAAGAAAAAAAATAAAGACAAATTATCTAGTCAGGTTAACTTGTTATTATTGTTTCCATTACTCGAATTATAAATTTTACAACTTAACTCTAGTCAATATAGTTTGTCATCATCTTTTTATTTTATTCCCTCATTTTTTTTCGGGATTTAGTCATTTGGTATTTTGTTTTTCAAATTTAATCTAGGGTTAGACAAGGCTAAAATGATAGAGGTTTTCTTTTTTTAACTGAATCATCATTTGAATGAAAAAGTCAATTTATTATTTGTCTGTTTTGTCAAATAAATCACACCAACTTTGTTTTTCATTTATTAATGCCTATGATAATTGATTAATTTATTCTATGATATCAATCAAGTTTTTAATCATCATTTCAAATATTTCATAACATGTTCGAAAAAAAAACAACATTTATTTTTTTTAATGCCGTTATATACATTTCACCTGACATGTAGTGAAGTAAGGGCCCAAGGCCTAGTTATTTTCTATTTTACCTCATGAAAATCCAAAACAAAAGTACAACGATCTCAAATTTCTTTAATTATAAAAGATATATTTAAACTAACTTGCACATTACTGGTCAAGTTTTTAAAGATATTTTATCCCATTATTAATTTATTATAATATATTAATCGAATTTTTAATTATCATTTCAAATATTTCACTACATGCAAGCAAAAAAACAATGTTTATAAATTTTTAATATAGTTATATACTATTTACTCTACCTGCAGTGAAGCAAGGGCCTAAGCCTAGTTATTTTTTATTTTACCCTATGAGAATCCAAAACAAAAGGTTCAACTATCTCAATTTTTTTTAATTATAAAATATATTTTTAAACTAACTTGTACTTCAAATAAAATCACAATACTCATTGTAGGTTGATATATTATTATTATTATTATTATTATTATATAAATTCTCCTAAATACTAATCACCTCAATCTAATAGTATCAAACAAGGTTAATATTCTAATTAATAAGTATTTGATCTAGTAATACTCCGATTCAAAAAGAAAAGGATTGGGTAGAAAGATCAATTCCTGTTCTTGCAAGAACTAGATACGATTTTGAAGATAAATTAAAATCATAGAAACATTGTAACAAAGGAAAAGATATTTGGTTTTGGACATAAAAGATATTTTAGAGTTGAAAAGTTGAGAAAATGTTACCATTCAATGATATTTATTGCTTTTAAAATCAGAAACATATATCATCACTTTTCTTTTCTTGTTTCCATAAATGTCATGTTGATTGTTGAAATGTCATGTAAATGATATTCATGAGTATAATTGTTTTTTAAAATATTTTTATATAAATATAATATTTTTTAATTTATGTTTTTACATCAATACAACAAAATAATTTAAAAGCGTAAAAAAATAAAATTAATTTCAATTCATCTTGGCTTGCTTGTGTCAATTACAAACCATTTATGGGGTTTTGTTGGTAAAATGTCTAAACTAATTTGGAGGATGGTGTTCACATTGCATTATCATTATTATTTCACTATAAATTGTCAATAGTTTTCACATGAGATATGTGAAACAATGGTATGGCACTGGCAGCGTTATTTTTTTTAATATTAAAAAATATTTAAGTAATGCAAGAATGTTATAAAGAAGAAAAAAATCCATTGATCCAGTAGAGTTAAATAAGTTGATATCATTTAATTAGATAATAAAAAAAACAACAATAATAAATGAACCAAATTAAATAAAAAAACGTTTTCACAAGAACATAAAAAAAAAAGATTCCAACAAAAAGAAAAAAAAAAAGCAAAGCAATTAAGTTCTAAGCTAATCCAAAGTGGAAAGAACAAAATTTTCAATAAAAAAAAAGAATAAAAAATGACCGAGTTAGCCAGAAAAGTCAAGGGAAAATATGTCAAATCTGCAACTTGATTTATTAGACCAGAATAAACCAAAAGAAAATAAAAATAGTAAGCCTAATTTCTTATTAAATTCAATGTAAAAGGATAAAATGAAAAAAAATTAATTAAAAAGAATCAAAAAAAATTCAACAAACCAGGTAAGTCTATCAAACCCTATGACCTAGATCATAAGAATAAGATACTCATGTGGAAGGTAAATTGAAAAAAAAAATAAAGTTTAATTATAAAACAATTCAATGTTTAAGGATGAAATAAAAAATATTAAATTAAAAAGATGACCCAAAAAAATACCCAAGTCAACTTGGGTTACCTAGCTAAATTCGTAATCGAGGTGATGGAATTGGAATTACTGAATAGAAAGGAAAAAATCAATGTAAGAAAAATAAACCCTAAAACAAAGAAGATGTTAACCTAGCTTAAGTTTTTAAATTTGCAACTCGAATCATGAAGTTAAAATCACCTTATCAAGAAAAAGCACGGACTCCAATCCCTAAATAACTTCATGTCAAATGATGAAATTTAAAAAAAATTATAAAAAGATCCACAAAAAAATAATAAAAAACAAAAGAATAAAAATCATATTAGAAATTAAAACAAATAAGAGGATATTTTATATTTTTAAATTGAAGAATGAAATTAAAAAAAAGATTTAATTTCATAAAAGGATAAAAAATAAAAATAAAAGAATAAAGATTAAATTTGAAAAAAAAAAAAGACAACTTATAATTTTTTAATTAAATGATGAAATTAATTACAATTCTAGAAAATTATCAAGAATAGAAATTTAGTAATTAAAAGAATAAATATTAAATTTAAATAATAATAAAATAAAGAGATAACCCTGAATTTTATAATAGATAGCATGAATTTTAAGAAAAACAGAGAGAAAAGAAGGGGGAAAAAAAAGTAATTATAAACACATCACCGTGAATCAATCTACATGCACCATTGCATATGAAACATCTCGTTACAACATATCAAGCGCCATCATGAATGGCCATGTTTGGCCATTAAATGAGATCGCACATGTCACTGAAGAGTGGCAACTTCCCTCACGTCTTTAGAATGTGAATTATATTCGTTAGTTTTTTTTATTTATCTTGCTCGTTAACTTTAGCTTTCCATATTTGTTTATAGTCCAATTTGATTTCTTGAAAATTAATTATTTTAAATCAATATAATTTAAATATATTTCAGCAAATCAAGTATCAATCAAGTATCAAAATATCTTCTTGGTGATGCAAAAACCCTATATAGGTAAAAATAAACAAACTATCAATTCAATTTACAAAAAAAATATAGAAGGATTAAATTAAAAAAATATTAAAATAATAAAAAGGTCATAAATATTTTTTCTTTTCTAAGCAAGTCAGTCCCTGTTAGGACAAATTTGAAGATGCTTTAAGTTTTTCAAAGCTTCAAATTCAATCCCATAAGCTTTAATTACTCTAAACTAATAAATTTAAATTTTATTTGGCAAAATCAAGTAACAAAAATTTCATCCACACCTTGAGGTGTATATTCGTAGGTGATTAAAACAACCAGTGAAGTCCAAACTCAAATTATTGCAATGTCAAGCACAAAAAATAAAAATAAAAATCAAGGGATCAATTTTAAAAAATAAAACTATATCATTATAAATTATTATTATAATCCACAATAATTTATCTCACAATAACTTTATTATGAGATTTAGTTTTTTTTTTTGTAATTTATGATTAAACCATACCATACTTGTCCTTAATTTATAATACCCTTGCTAAAACAGAAATTACAAACCATATTGTCCTTTTCCTTAATTTATAATACTCTTTTTATATAATAATATAAAAAATCAAAATATATTTGAGTTGTACTATGGTATTTTTTTTCTTTTATTAGAATATCTTATGAATGAATCTATTTATATTTAAATGGTCTAATCATATTGAAACCAAATTGAAAAAAAAGAAAAAAATAACAGAACAAAAATTTAATGCAAAAATCAAAATAATAATAAAGAGATAAATAATTAAATGGATAATTTAGTAAAAGAACATCTTTGCTTTTAAATTCAGTTGATTTAACAATTTAATCAATAACTTAGTTGACATAATTAAATTTAATAAAAAAATAAAAAGTAAAATAATATTATTTTAATAAAAAAATATTTTACGTTAATCCACCAATTGAATAATTAAAGATAATTTTGGAAGTCAGGTCCAACGAGAACGGCAAATATCCTTACGGCAAGACAATGTCATGATTGAAGTAATATAGACATGGATGCATCTCTATAAAGAAAAGAACAAAACAAAACAAAAATACAAGGCAACTTGAATTGTACAGATGCAGATGAAACGACTGCTCCAACAAGCACCCGCAGACTATCTAAGAAAAATTTACCATTATCATCAAAATCTCTCCACAATCTTTCCCTTGTGAGGTGATAAAGTTTCATTCCTTGTGGTCATCAGTACATAATTACAGCATTCATGTATAACATGTGCTTTTGATTCTAATCAAATCTTTTTTAATGAATTTCACTTGATTTGACTAGATATTCTCTCGTTTCTATCTATCAATTATTTGAGGGGATTCTGCATCTGGGTTTTGTGTGTTTGTTTGTGGGTTGGATTTTTTTGGGTTAATAATGTTCTGAAATGATTGGATTTATAGTGTTAGAGGATAGATATCATCTGGGTTTGGGTAAGTTTTTCTTTCTTTGTTTCGCGAAATATTAAAATTCGGGATTATTTTATCATTTTATCAATAGGTTCTTTCGTTTGGTGCAAACAAATCAATGACAATGTAACCTTTTTTCCCTTTTTGGTTGAGCATCATTTTTTCCCCCTCTACTGCTGCTTCTCTTATATCATTTTTTCCCCCTCTACTGCTGCTTCTTAGATTCAATTTTGGATTCATGATGTGAGTTTGTCCGTGTGTTGTGACTTATGAGAGCTTGTATGTGGATTTTTCCAAACATTCATGCAAATAGCACACAGTGGTTTTCGTTTGAATCTTCCTCTACTATATATTAACGTTTCATGCTGGTTCTGTTATAAATTTCAGGTTGTTGCTAATGTTCATTTTTTGACGGAAGAAGAAAAAACTAGTTTCGATGGACGATTTGCCAGACCAATTGGTGTGGGATATCTTGAGCAGGGTCAAGAAAACTGTAGATAAAAACTCTGCTTCACTAGCATGTAAACGTATCTATGAACTGGATAATGAACAAAGACAATCTATGAGGGTTGGTTGTGGACTAGACCCTGCAAATCAAGCCCTGGCATCGCTCTGCAATAGGTTTCCTAACTTGGCAAAAGTAGAAATAACATATGCTGGTTGGATGTCTAAGTTGGGAAAGCAATTAGATGACCAAGGGCTTGTCATTCTTGCCAATAATTGTCCTTCGCTGACTGATCTGACACTGAGCTACTGTACATTCATAACTGATGTAGGTCTTCGGCACTTGGCTTCTTGTTCCAAGCTTTCTGCCTTGAAGTTGAATTTCACTCCAAGAATCACTGGTTGTGGCATTTTATCTCTTGTTGTGGGCTGCAAGAATCTTACAATTCTTCACCTTATTCGATGTCTTAATGTTACCAGCGTTGAATGGCTTGAATACATTGGAAAGCTTGAAACTCTGGAAGACCTTTCAATTAAGAATTGCAGAGCACTTGGTGAGGGTGATTTGATTAAGCTAGGATCTAGTTGGCGAAAACTAAAAAGGTTGCAGTTTGAGGTGGATGCAAATTACAGATATATGAAGGTTTATGATAGGCTAGCTGTTGATCGATGGCAAAAACAGTGGATCCCCTGTGAATCCATGTTGGAGCTTAGCCTGGTGAATTGTATCATCAGTCCTGGGAGAGGGCTTGCTTGTACGCTGGGGAAGTGCAAGAACCTGGAGAAGATTCATTTGGATATGTGTGTTGGAGTCAGAGATTGTGACATCATAGGCTTAGCTAAAAAATCAAGTAACCTTCGCTCAATTTCACTCCGAGTTCCTTCTGATTTCTCGCTGCCACTTCTGATGAACAATCCACTGAGATTAACAGATGAAAGTCTTAAAGCCCTAGCTCTGAACTGTTCAATGCTTGAATCTGTCCGGATATCTTTTTCTGATGGGGAATTTCCTTCCTTTTCTTCATTTACACAAAACGGAATCCTTAATTTGATTCAGATGTGCCCAATTCGGGAACTTGCTCTTGACCATGTGTATTCCTTCAATGACGTTGGTATGGAAGCTCTTTGTTCAGCTCACTATCTTGAAACCTTAGAGCTTGTCAGATGCCAAGAAATCAGTGACGAGGGGCTACAGCTTGTGGGGCAGTTTCCTCGTTTGTGCATTTTACGATTAAAAAAATGTTTAGGGGTTACTGATGATGGATTGTACCCTCTTTCTGGGACAGACAAATTGGATTTCTTAGCTGTTGAAGATTGCCCTCAAATTTCTGAAAGGGGCGTTCAAGGAGCTGCAAGATCCGTGTCATTCCGGCAAGACTTATCATGGATGTATTGAACTTGTATTGGACTAATAAAGGGGGTCTACAAATTTAATTTGTGCCGTCTTCAATGCATTTCTGTAAGTGATCATTATTTGCGATTTGATCAAAATCCTGTCTTCTGGATCTGTTGCTTGTTGTATGATTGTTACTTATAGCAGTTAGATTATTTGGCTGTGATTGCAAAATATGTAATGCTGTAATTAACCATAAATTTGTTGAATAATACCATGGTCCTTGTGGATTTATTATGAAATAGCATTTTGAAACTTCAATTTTGCCATTTTTATCGCTCGGAAATTTTAGAAACATTATTGTAAGCATTTACGTTTTGAATTGACAGAACATATTTGCGGAACTGGTCAGCCGAGAATTCCTAAACTAATGAAATGCCTGATTAAAACTCCTATGTGCATTTTCACAGCCATAATGCAGGGCATCTGTCTGGACATGCACTTTCAGAAACATTTGGTTTTCCAGAATTTTTCTTCCTCAGCAGTATTGAAGGATCGGGACAGGATTTCTGTGTGTGAGGATATTGTCCACACCAGGCTTTGAACACAAACAAGATGCACTCTACAGAGAACAATGATATAGAAGTGGATAGAACTAGATGACAAACTAGGAACAAGAAAATAAAAGGGGAGATAATGAAGGCCATAGAAAAACAAACAAACCCTACTTCGAAGAATATTTGAACAAAAACAAACTTGCTATTCTATGCAATGTGAATTACTCATGAAAAGAATCATTTTTAGTAGCTCCATTCTGCCATTTCGCCTGCTCTTTCTACCACTTTCTCACTATATGATGGCAATTTGTCGATTTCTACCACCTCTGGAACCTCACGCCGTTTCCCAACACCTGCCACTTCCACCAGTTTAGGGCAGTTTGATACCCTAAGAAATGCATGGTTTTGAGCAAGTGTTAGCCATATCAAGTTCCTGAAGGTCAAGCAATTTTCTACATCAACATTAGAGAGGCCGTGGAAGGATCTCTCGGATGTGGTCACTTTAGCGAGTTCGTTCAAAGCTTGTATCTTTTGTTGCTCCATTGCACAGTCAAATTTGCAACTCTCCAAAACTCCCACAATAAGAAGTTTTCAGAGTATCCAGATGTTTCCTATTTAATAATGATGAAGAAAATTTAGCGTCGAATTATGGAAAAGCTCGAGGTATAGAACTCGAGTAGAATTATTCAATATTTCGAAGCTTCACAATTTTTCTCTTTCTCTTGGTAAGGTACATTGCACCAAAATAAAAACCATATACTATAATTTACACGGAAGGTTATTAAAGATAACGAAAAAGGTAGAATCTTCCATAACAATCAATCTTTGAAAAACTATCATAAAAATAGAAATTTTAGGTGATTTTATAACTTCATGGTTTTGTTTCAACTTATAAATGTTGTGACTTTTTGTAGAGAGAAAAATAAAGAATAAAAAAAGATGAATATATTAAAAATATTTTTAAAAATACAAGTCCAAAAATTGCTTTAAAAACATGTTTTTCAAAGACAAAGGATGGTTTTTGGTTGAACATTTTTAAGAGCAGAAAAAACATAATAAGAACCCAAGAATCATATCTAATCCAAAGATTAAGTTGCATCAAATCATAGTTATAGATAACTAAAACATGTAAAATTAAATTTTAAAAAGTTATTCAAAGAGAATAACATGCCAAATATATAACCTTAAGCAAAAAAACATAGATCTTTAAATTGATTAAGGATTGATTATTCCAAATCAATACTTAAATGAATTAATTGGGAGGAAAAAAATCATATATATATATACTTTAATTGAAACACATAAAGCAAGCTAATAATTTTAGTTTGTAAAAAAGTTAAAATTACATCCTTTGAACATTAAACCTAAAAACCTAAAAAATAACCAAAATCCCAAAAACAATTATCCTAAACTCAACAATCTTAGTTCAAGCACACTCAAATTAATTTGCTTGAACTATTAATGCCTCAAGAAAACAAACAAAGAATGTAATGCAATACTTAAACCAATAATTACTACAAAACTTTAAAATAAATTTCTTTAACACAATAAACCATTATGTTGATTTTAACACTTGTTTTCATTCAAAAGTATCATAAATATGACTTGAGAAAATACATCATTTAATCTATAACAACCAATTGTTATATTTTTGATAAATCATGCTTATCAACATGTATACTTTCAATCGAACCAAGTTCAAATGACTAACATAACTATCAAGAATGACTTGGTTGTTATTTAAACAAACTACTAACCTTACATTAATAGTGTGTCATATCTTAAAATCACAAGCTATGCATTCATTATCACATTGAACATATATTTATCAAAACATGCATATTATTTCAAAACATAATTAAACATATCAAAACACATACATTGTTGATCAAATTAACAACTAATAATGGTGGATAAACTTTGAGTATTCAAGATTTAAAAATAAATATAAAAGATGTGTCCATTGATCTATATCATCTTATAAAGGGTAAATGGTATACCTTTTAGTAAAAACATAGCCTTTTTTATGGATGTTTTAGCTCATTTTCTTCTTATTTCCATCTCTTTTTAGCCTTTCTTCTTTTTCTTTTCTTTTTTGCTCTTATTTCCCCTCACTTTTTCTTACTTCTTTATCATTTTTTCTTCTCTAGATTTTTTTGCTTTTCTAATTCCCTATTTTTTTTCCTTTATGGAAATTCACTTCTTTTATAAGCTAAAACAAAGCTAAGAAGTTATAAAACCACCTAAAATTTCTATGATGGTTTTTCAAAGATAGGTTGTTATTGGAAGATTTTAGCTTCATCCCTATTTTCAATAACCTTCCATGTAAGTTATAGGGTATAGTTTTTTTGTTTTTTGTGCAATGAACCTTATCAAGAGAAAACAACCTCAAAGTTGGCTCTTACAGAATTAGCAAAATTAAATACATATAGCATTTATATTGTTTTTAGAGAGAAACAATGATTTGTATAGTTTTTAATAACACTTCAAAGTAATTTTAAAAGACTTAAAAGTTCAATTTTATATCATTCTCCATTATTTTTTGTTGATTTTATTGTTATTGAGTTATTAGCTAAAAAATATATCTTCAGTCTTATTTTGTTATATACGATTAGTTCATCCACTACCTTTGTTATATAAAAATAATAATAAGCAAGCAATAGTTCTAATTTTATAATAAAAAGAGAGGAGAGAAGAAGAACAAAATCAAATAACATGAATGGCACCAAATGTCTCTGGTTAAAGATTGTGTGTGTGTGTGTGTTTAGAAAAACTACCAAGAATAAACTTTGCATAACCAAGGCACCACCTAGAGAATTTGTCGATTTACCTGACAAACGATTTGCAGGCTTTAGCAAATGGTGAAAATCTGTCCAATGGGTATAGTAATTTCCCTGACTTGGATCCTTTGGAGGTGAAGGCCGAGGAATGTCAATGGAGTTTCGAGTCCGCGTACGATCAACACTCTTTTATGCCTCAAAGTTATAGTGGCTTAGATAATGTGGCAAAGAAAGCTACAGCAGCATTTCTTTTGAAGGCAGGCCTGGCTTTCTCTTTCAACCTCGCTTTGATAGTCTCTTAGAGTCTCCAAATTATCAAAGTCAATGCTTAATCTTACCTCAAAACAACTTTCCTGCTGGTCAATTGAGGAGGGTGCTGCACTGGTTATTTACATGTTTTAAACCACCCACTGATCTAGTTTAATCCCCTGTTTTGACTCTGTTTTTGTCCTGTTTTTCTCCATCATCAGTGGCTAATTGAATATTGTTTTGACTTTGTCGTGTGATATTTAATTGAACATTTTCAAGTCCTGTAGCTACAGAGAGCTCGTTGAAAGAAGAATCAAAATTCAAAGATGGATGTTATGGTGCTGAAGAAAGGAAGGAGAGAATCTCACTCAAAGTATGTAGCCAAACGTTACCGAGGAAACCTCATCGCTAATCCCTTCTGATCTTGAGGAACTTGTTAATTAGGCATTTTTAAAATGTTAATTTATGTTCTCGCCATAATCATGCAAAAGAGACACACACACACACACCCCACAATCAACTGCATTATTTTTATTATATTTATCTTTGTTTAATATTATAAATATTAATAAGGTAAAATTACTTTATCATTTTATAATTTAGTTTTTTATTATTTTTTTATTTAAAAAAAGGGTTTATATTCAACTCAAATTTTAAATTTAGATGAAAAAAATGAATCTATCCTATTTTCTCAATTAATTTCTTTTATAATATAATAAAAATATATTGTTATTTATTGATTTTATCAAATTTAATTTTTAATTTTTTTATTGTTATATATTTTGTTTTGAATTTTTTATTTCAATTTTATTTCTTAAAAATCATTATTTTTATTCTTTTTGTTTTTTTATCATTTTTTATTATAAATTTTTATCTATCATATTTGATCCCTCTTTTTTTATTACTATTTTTTTATTTAAAATAGTTTATGAAATTATAATTATTTTAATTTCATCATCTTTTAACTTTTTTTGTCAGATTTGATTTTTATTATTTTTATTATTATTTATTTTATTTGAAATATTTTTTTTAAATTTCATACTCCAACTTTTTTTATTTGTAAGCTTTGGTCTTCATTCTTTAAATAAACTTGAAAAAAAAATTAAAAATTTTATTTTTCAACTCATTTTTCATTACTTAATTAAATGCTGGAAAATATTTTTTATTTATTTTCATAATACTATCCAATATTAAAAAATAATTTATTTTTTAAGAATCTACTTTATAAGAAAACCACTTTTTTAAAAATAATTATTATATAGCAAACAAACTAAATGTCAATTTGGAGCTGCGGTTCAATTTACTTTTCATGAAAACTTGAATTTTATTTGTTTTAAATTAAGTTTTTAGTATTTTTGAATCATTTAAATATGCTAATATCAAAAATAAATTTTTAAAAATAAAAAATATTATTTAATATATTTTCAAGTAAAAATAAATTTTAAAATTCAATCTCAAACACCTTTTAAGTTTATGTTAATGCTAGGGTTTCTTGTTTGACATAGAAGGAGTTTTTTTAGCCGCAATTTTATTATTTTAAAGCAATAACATCTTTTTATTTATTAAATTGAATACAATAATAAAAATATAAATAATTCAATATTTTTTGTTGATTTTTTTTACTATTCCTAAATGTTTTCTATAAAATAAAATACATCATAGGAAATTTTTCTATAATTATTTTCTTTTACTTTGATGGTGTATTTTTCAATTAAAAAACAGATAGAAA